AATTGTAACGATTCCAAAAGAAACTTCTTGTGTGTAAGCATCCAGAGATCTCCTTGCAGCACGTGCTGACCTGTTCATACTGCATAGAGCAAGAGCAGTGACAGTCTCATTCAGGGTATAAAATAAATAAGATCCCTTTGAACAATAATTCTTTGGCTTCTCCTCCTGAAAACATTGTCCAATAAATCCTCCTGTCCTAGTATGGATTTGGCCCTTTAGCGTAGCAGGAACATTTGCAGTGGGTTGCTGCCATGCAGCCCTGCTGGTAGCTGCCTTGAGCAAGCCGAGATGAGTAATCCTGGTGGAGCCATTCAGCATGGATCTGGCTTGTGGCATGGTGGGAGGAGGCAACGGGCAAGCCTGTGCTTGTCGCTGACTTGGCTGCTTGACTTGCTCCAGGGCATTTTTGACATCCTACTTTATTCCCCGCTCCCGTCCTTCTGGGCCACATGCCTACCTTTGCAGGTGGCTGGCTGTTTTGTCTCTAAAGTTTCTCTTTACAACATCTTCTGCCGCTCTCTTTTTTGTTTTGGCCCTGGGTCATTTTGGTAGGTTCAGGAGCCTGTCGTGACTCGAAGAAGGGCAGCAAATGATTTGCATGGTGTGTTTGCATGTAACTTTTTAGATCAGTTTCCTGAAGACAGTGGGAAGCAACCTGTGGGTGGCTATACACGTAATCTAATAAAATATTCTAATAATGAATTTGACTGCTAATCTGAGGTGTGGGTGGGTGGGAACATGCATACTATCATAAATTTGAGAAGGATTAGCAAGACTGGCCCAAACTGCATTGCTTTTCTGAGCAGCTGCATTACATGATGGGGAAGTTTTCCTGCAACCTGAGGGTGTGATTTCAGGAGGTCTATTTTGGGGTGCAATTCTTGACTTTCATTGGTCCTCCAATGGGGACTGCTTGGATCATACGTTCTTCCTTCCTTTCCCCCATTTCCATTTTTTGATTTGGTTCCCCCCCTCTAGTGCTCTCTATTTTATGTTTGTATTCTCTCACTTTTGTTTTAAGGGGATACTTGTGACCTGGACTAAAGGTTTCAAAGCTAGTGGTTGTGAAGGAGAAGATGTGGTGGGATTGCTGAAAGACGCAATTCATAGGAGAGAGGTAGGTCCCTTTTGGGTAGGAATTCCTGGGTCTCTAAAAACTACCTGGTGAAAAGAGCACTCCAATGGCCACTTCAAAATTTAAAAAAAACAAAAATAAAAACTCTTTATGGAAAACTAAGGTTCTGATGATGTAACATCATTTGGGTGAGATGAGAAAACTGGAATGACCAGAGAAGTCAAACTCTCCTACTGGCAATATTTCTGCAGACTAGCATATCTTTTAGTTACCTTGTATGCTTCATCCATGTTTCCCAATTTGGTTTTGTATTAGTGGTGGGTTGTGGTGGTGTTTGGGTTTGTTTGTTTTTTAAACTTGGAGGATATTCTTGCTTTCCCTAAATGAATCTGACCCTTCTCTCCCCGCCTCCATGCAGGAATTTGACCTGGATGTGGTAGCTGTTGTGAATGACACTGTAGGGACCATGATGACCTGTGGCTATGAAGACCCATTTTGTGAAGTTGGACTCATAGTTGGTAAGACTCAGATTTATGTAATTAAGCTAATCTGCATAATTTTGCTTATTTTACATAATGTATCTTATTTTTGCCAATTATGGGGAGGGAGGGATTATGCAGAGAGCGAAGACTCAGCTGTATAGCAGTTGGGACTCCTGCTCAGCCCTACCCTGGCCTCCGAGATTACAAGAAACCTGCATTGCTTGGAGCTTGTCTTCATAATCATAAGGTTTGGGCTGGGATAGGCAACTTATTTTTGGCCTGGGTGCTGAATAAAACCCACCATGTCACTTGGAAGACTGTGCTGGAAAACAAAATGAGGATGGGGAAGCAGGGCAGAAAGAAGTGCCTTGGGCTGAGCTCGGACCTGGTGTTGGCAGTACCAGATGTGGGAGGCAGTGATGGACAGTCATTCGTGTTGCCTTTTGCAACTTCAACTGTTGCAGTTGTTTTACGTAACACATCACAGGGTCATGCCTGTTTTACATTATACACCACGAGGTCATGCCTGTTGCCTTCTCCCACACCACTGGCCCCAAGGACACACCTTGGTTGCTTGAATGGAGGACTGGTGTGCCATTGTTTGACACTCGTGCCAGGGTTTCCCTATGCCAAGCTAGATACTTGGGTTTTTTTTAAAGTTAAGATAGGTGAAGATCTGAGCCCCCCCCCTCCCCAGTCCTTGTTTGCATGGGTGGAAGTATAGGATATACTCTGCGATGGTCCTAGTGAAGCCTTTCTCAGCTCCCTTCAGGTGACCTTTCACTGCTAACGGACTCTCCATGACCTTTTCTCCTCCCTACATTATCACGTTGCTGTCCATGCACAGTCCTGGCCAGTGAACTTGGGTCATAAACTGTCTGGCTAAGAGCCACATCGATATTTTCAACACTTAAGCCCAGGGGTGGGGTTGAAGTTTCATTGGGATAAAGGGCATTTCATAGCCCCCCCCCCCCCAATGTTCAGTTAGTCTAATACAACTTGCCTTAAGAGTAATAAAATTAAGAACTTGTAAATGTAATAGAAGTAAAAAAACTATACACCAGTTAGTGGTAGGTGAGGCCTCCCCATGCTCTCCTTGGAATTGGGCTGCTGATCTGCCAGTAAATCACAACTCGCTTCAAGTGACCGTTACTCCAATCTTATCACCTGGAAGTGCCAGGATCCCTAGGCTGTTCCTGAGACTGTCACATGAAGCTGCCTTATACTGAGTCAGAGCCTTGGTCTATCAGTATTTTCGATTCTGACTGGCAGCCGCTGTCCAGGGTCTCAGGCAGAGATCTTTCACATCATCTACTACTTGGTCCTTTTTTACCTGGAGTTGCCAGGGATTGAACTTGGGACTTTTTGCATGCAAAGGAGATGCTCTGCCACTCCAGCATCCTTGGGAGCACTCTGTGATTCTTTGTACCAAGCCCTACACACCTGCTCCTGCTGCAGAAGTATGCAGTGCTTCAGCCAGTGAGTCCGAACTGGTGCTAGAAAGACTGATGAGCACTTGACACTAAGCATACCACCAAAGTTTATGCACCTTTGTTTTTAATTTTTATACGTTATTTATAGTCCGCCTTTTTCACAGAAAAGGCTGAAAGATAGCATTCACATGACGCATTAAGCGGTACAGAAATTACATAAATTGGATCCTACTTACAATAAGCTATATGCAGTAGTTTAGACCACAGTCCCATATCATTTATCCAACCAGCTTTGTAAAACCATTTTGTGCAGTGAAATCCTATTACCTGCGCAGAAAAGCCCTCTTAAATAGTTCAGTTTTGCATAGCTTGCACAAAGCCAGGAGAGTGGGAGCTTTCCTGACCTCTTCAGGCAAACCATTCCCAAAGGCAGGAGCCACAACAGAGAAGGCACATGTATGAATTGTGAGTCTGGGTAGCTTGTAAGGTTCTCCTTCGAACAGAGGCTCACTGCTCAGCACCACCACTTCTTCTCTAGCTCAGAGGCCAGTTCACCTGCTGCCATTGTGGCAGCAGCAGGCCAAAGGCCAAACTCTTCCCAGTTGCTGCCACCATCTTAAAAGGTTTATGGTAAAAGGGCCAAGTGGGGTTGCTTCTTACTGAGTCACTGGGTAGAAAGGGGCCTGCACATTTCCCCTTCTGTCTCTGTGAAAAAGCTTGGTGGAGACTTTCTTTAAGAAAGTAATAGTGGCAGCGCTTTCCTCCCTGCTCTTACCCTGATCCTTGTCTATATACTCCACACTGAATATAGTTAAGATGCTCTTGCCCCTGGAACCCAATCAGTGTTCCTTCAGTGTGTTAAACTGTTGTCTGTGAATCCCCAGGAACGGGCAGCAATGCCTGCTACATGGAGGAGATGAAGAATGTGGAGGTGGTGGAAGGAGATGAGGGCAGGATGTGCATCAACATGGAGTGGGGTGCCTTTGGTGACAATGGCTGCCTGGATGACGTCCGGACTGAGTTTGATGTTCTGGTGGATGAACATTCCCTCAACCCTGGGAAACAAAGGTGAGCGGCGAGTTGCTCTGGGGGAGGTTTTCTGTGCCTCTGGTACTCCCTAGCAGATGCTGAACTCACAGTTATACTTGTGGAATGGCTCCCGTGCAAGTGCCAGTAGGCAGGGATTCTGAGGGCCACAACAGGCCAGAGAAGCCTCTGATCTTATCTCAAAGGTCACCCAACAGGATCCTTGTCCTGTTTAGCTGCTCATCTGTGTTTGTCTTATAAATGTCTCCCTCCCACAAAATGTTCCTTTGGGACTTGTTTCTTTACATCTAAACTGTAGTCCCAACTGAGCTCTTGCTGTAAACTAACATGAATTTTGAATGAATTGCTTATGGCTTTTGGCTATTCTACATTGAGAGGGATGCAGTGTTCAGTCCCTGTCCTAGGTTTTATTTGTTTGGTAATCCCCCTTCCTTTTATTTTATATATTATATCAATTTATATACATTTCATCCTTCACAAAGTAGGGTTTTTTTAATGGTTTTGGTACCATAGGTGAGACCCCCTCTCTGGATTCTCCTCAGAACAACACTGCAGGGTAGGGCAGGCTAAGAACTAGTTACTGGCCCTCAGAATTCCCAATGAGCTTCAGGACATGGTGGGAATTTGAACCTGGGTCATGTTCATATCAGAGGATGGCGGAAGACAGGAAGGCCTGGCGTGATCTGGTCCATGGGGTCGCGAAGAGTCGGACTCGACTGTGCGACTGAACAACAACAACAACAACAACATGTTCATGTTCTCTTTGTAGTGGCTTGGTTAAGAAATCAGGGGTGTTGTCTCCTGAGTCCCTGCCTGGCAAATGATTCTTCACATGGGCCACATACAGGACTGAGCAAGGGCTGGAGAGCCAGCAAACTTGGCTGCTCCCACTTAAGTTGAGACCGAGGGCCTGTGAGCTCCCTCTTCCCTAAAGCAACAGAGGCTTTATTTTATTCTATTATACTTTTATCCCACTTTTC